GAGGGCTTTTCCAGCCTCAGTGATTCTGTCTGTGGGGTTTCTTCTGGACATTCTGCTCCTCAGCACAGTCAGCAGTGTTTGGGAGCTGTTCAGCAGGGCTGTCTCACAGCTCAGTTTTTCAGCCTGTGCAGATATGACCCTGCTGCTGAGAGGGACAGTTGTACTGGTAGAAATTCAGTTTATCTGTTCAGCTTCCAAAAATAATGTAATTGTTCATTTATTTGCATAACTCCTCCTCATACAGGACCTTAGAAAGGCTGGTTGTGTGTATGGCACTGGCAAACCACACCCAGAACTCTTTGATATCCCAAAATGTGCCGTGGGTTTATAGACAGAGAGTCCTGGCTCAGGGCTGAGAGCTCAGCTGGGTCCCTCCATGAGCTCTTTGACTTTCAGAGGAAGAACTTTAGAAACTGTAATTTCCATGATGGAGTTGAAATGCTGCAATGTAGCTTCCAGGAGCTGCAGCCCAGTTTTGCCCCAGACACTGGAGCAATCTTGAGCTGTGACATGACCATCTCTTCCTTTCAAAGTCCCTCTGTGGGCTGTTAAACTCTGCTTGGGCTGTCAGGGTGAGCAATCTCCAAATGTTTCTCAGCCTGGTGTTACTGCCTGATAACACTCATTTCACCCCAAAGCTTGTTTTAAAGCTTAATTCATGTCTACAAAAGTGACACTTAATTTCCAGCAAGTTTGGCAAGCTTCTGGGTCATCCCAAATTTATCATCTCCAGCAGGATCAACTAATACACAGCCTTCAGATTAGATGCTCTTTGGGCCTTTAGACAGGAGTCGAGCTGATTACTGTGAGCCTGTTTATAGTTGAAGGAATCCTTTGAATATTAGGCTGGAGAAATAATAAATAGGTTGGTTTGTTCAGCTTTAGCATCTGAAGATACAGAGGGACTGTGAGCAGTTCCATCAAGACAACACACTGGATTGTTTGGAAGGTGCTGTATCCAAATATTCACTTAGACTTATTGCTCCTGAGTAATATCCCTTAAGAGCAAAGCAGTGAATGTGTGGCTGGGAAGTCCTGGCACCCACAGGTGCAGACTTGGGGCCATCAGTGGGATTTGATTCCAGAGAATTCCATGGCAGGGCCAGGGGGAAGTTGTGGCAGAGCTGGTGGAGGAGTTGAGCTGCCCTGAGCTTCCTGAAGGGAAAAAGGGAAACAGGGCTGGAGACCCTCCAAGCTGGGTTTGGAGGGCATTTTTTCACGTTTGGTTTGAAACTTTGCAGTGAGGAAGTGACTGTCCCCCTGTGCTGGCACTGCACAAATCCTGGGGGCAGTTCTGGGCCCCTCAGGACAAGAGAGACACTGAGGGGCTGGAGGGTGTGCAGGGAAGGGAA